TTACCGATGAACACCTGTGCCCTCTGTCCGATGAGCATGTCCACTGCCTGCTGGACATATTTCTGTTCCTGGTTCAGCACCAGGTCCCTACTGCTCGCAACGTGCGCCCATTTCCCGCTCGCATCGAACGCAGCCTTCAGCGCGCTCACCCACGCGACCGGCCCGTTGGTCATGATGTACACACCGCGCAAGCCCCTTCCAGCCTCACTCTTCCGGACCTCCTCTGCCCGCTGCGCGATCTCCTCGATAGTCGGGTAGCAGTGCCGTCTGTAGATCTCCCGCTTCTCCTCGGGGGTGACCCCTCGCGGCTTTTCGAACCTGTCGGGGAGGCTACTGAAGGCGTTGTAGCCCGTGTAGCCCGAGTCCCAGTCGGCGAGGTTCTGACAATGCTCTTCGAAGTCGCCATGGCGGGCATGCAGGACGAGGAGGCCGGGGAGGATGCGGTAGCGCTGTGCGTTTGTGTGAGTGAAGGGGGTGGAGGAGAGGAGGGGGTATTGGGTGGAAGAGGGGAGGATCAGTTCGCGGTTCTCGTCGAATGCGAGCTCTATGAGGGGGGACCAGCCAATCTCGGTCAGGATGGGCGATGCGGAGAACGATGGCCAGGCATCGAGCAGTCGGTTCGGGTCACCGAGGATGCTATCGGTGGGCTCGATCAGCCACTACGCACGCGAGTTCATGCAAAGGGAGTCTTACAAGATGTCGAACAGCTGCCACGAATCGGGTGCGACTTCGACGCATGGGTCTTCGGTAGACGTGAGCAGTTCGACCCACTTGTCAATCATCAGCTGCGCGGTGGTGGTCCTTCCCAGAGACGCGATGACGTCGTCGTTCCGGATCACTGTGGGATTCGGGCAGACCTTATCCCAGAAATCTTTCATGACAGCCAGCGGCGCTGCGGGATCTGCGCGCATCGGTGCGCCGACCGTTGGACCTGTCATTGTGTTCAATATCGGCGCTCGCGCTTGTCTTTAGACCGTGTGTATTGACCTTGGATCAAAGCGGTGTAGGGTATTTGCGAGGGTATCGGTTTGTTGTTGAAGTATGAGTATAAGCTTCTGTCGTCATTCCAGGTATAGTTGCTGAACACGAAGCTATTGGCTCAGCTGGGCATGAATCAGTCATTCATACATGCTAGCAATGCTCAGGACGTACGATCGGCCAGCGCGGTAAGCTACATAGTGGTTGAGCAAGAGTTCCTGCATGATATTCCCCTATCCGGATCCTGATGCACTATAGGAATCTTATTATCTCTGGAGAGGAGCAGACTACGTACTGCGGGCGTGATTTGCTACCCAGAAATACTTGCCGTTCGGGCTATCTTGCGAGCCGGTGTCGAGCTGGTGCTGCGGTAGGCTGAGCTCGTAGTTGTGGAACCTGGTATATAGCGGCGGCAGGTGCTCGTCCTTCTCAGGCTGTCCGAAATGTATCTTCAAAGGTAGTCTGAACAGATAGACGTATCCGAGTATGATGGCGATTGCGAACGAGACGAAGACAACGACAGCAATCTTGATGAATCGCTTGGAATAGTATGGCCGGCGATATTTGGTGTGCGGCGCAGCAGGGTTTGCGGGTGGGAGTGATTGGTACGACCCCATGGAGCGTTTAGACCATGCGAACTTCATGCAGGATAGCATCGACTACCACCGAGGAGCTGGCTGGGAGAAATGGAGAAGGCATGCATGCTGATCGGCTGGCGTATATGTGATGACGATGGACATAGCCTTGCGGCGCACGAGGCAGGGTCATCGG